CAGCCGCTACCTAATGCTTCAGAGCGATCACAAAAGCAAGTGATGGTTGTTAGATAATAGTATCGATCGGCGAGTTGCAGCTTCAGATCCAGCTGTTCAACAAGCCATACTCACACAGCGGTTACGGTATTCGGCCGCTTGAGAGTGGCTGTTGAGCGGAGAGAACTTTCGAACCCCTGTCGACAGCGGACCTTTGTGAAGCAAAACTTCACCGAATAGGGAGAATGCATTACGGTAATTTTGCTGACGGACGGGACAACTGCTTAGGCCGAGTCTCGGAGCATCATTTTCTGAGTCTCAAAGAAATCAGATAGAAAAGAGAAACGTGATTCATCCAGACGTCATTTAAGGGTGAAGTTAAGCATTTGCCATTGGCCGGGTTGAGGCGAACTACGTCCTCCAAGACAATGGCGGGCTTGTTTTATGGTCAATCCATGATCAGCTGGCGCAAGTTGCTCCGTTCCGCCCGCACAAAGGCGGCTCGGATTTAGGTAGCAAGAGGGGCCTGGCTCCATCGCCCAGCGACGATGGGACTAGAACGCTTTCAGCATCCGACATGAGTGTGTTCCTCGAGGGCCCGAACTTGTCCAAGAGCGTCATGGGTTGGGCTGACAGCGTGGAGAGTGAGGACTTGAGGGCGCCCATTGCCTGGGGATAGAGTTAAAGTGGTACTCGACGGTCGCACGGGTGATCGAGTAGTGAGAAGGTAGGTAGGAAGATGTGTGCCAGTCGATCCTCTCTCCCTACCAGCACAAACCATCTAGTTATATCCGCGAAAGGAATCAACTTGAAACACTTCCATCTGCTTCAGTTGCCGCGCGCGCCTCTTGAAATGGCCTTTGCTGACTCGACTCTGCCTACCTGGTAGTTCCGCCCACAAGTCACCCCCGCTAATAAGGCGGCTGTCGTTGTATCCGGCCCCCAAGGTGCGTGCAAGGCAAGGATTGAGGTGACGACGGACGCATTCACTACCCATCACTGAGGTGCCATCACTCAGGCACTGGACCAACTAGTAGTGGTAGGGTTCAGGTCGGCTCCTCAATGCTAAACCTCTCTTACTGCTCACTCACCACGCTCTGTCTGACTGACCCTGGGTCCCTAGGCTAACCTGTGATCCATCCCACATCCTTCTTCCTCTCCACCAACGTCCAAACGCCGTTTCTTGACAATCATTGTCTTCTCCCTCTTCCCCCTTCAGTCGCAAACTTCGCCTGTATTCGTAATCACTCCCCCAGCCTGTCGTCCTCTCTCGCGTGCGACTCTCTCAGTCTCTCAACCTAGACCAATACCCCACCTCCATCTTCAGCTTGGCCATTCCCCGACAGCAGTGACCGCCACCCACTTTCTTGCCTGCACCAGCGCAGCACCTCTGACCTCTCGTACCCATAAGCCGTTTGCCGTTGCCCTCCAACTGCTCTGCAACTGCAACTGTGCTTCCCGTCCTAGGCGCCCACCGCAGATTCAGCCTGAACGCTCGAATTCATGACCGCCGCATCGTCGATTTCACGGCTCAGGCTCCGGCTCCAGCTCTGGCACAAGCTGTAGCTCGTTCCAAGCCCTCTGCCTTTCGCCATCGCATCAAGCCCTCGAGCGCCCACTTTCCCCCACACGCGAGTCCGCGAGACCGCTTCACAACCTTCGTCACAGGCCCGCATCACGGCCGTTTAGCCTCACCCAAAGCTCCCCTCCTCCGGCTTCCAATATACCCGCCCTTCCGTCATGGCCGCGCCCGCGAGCGTGAGGGTTTCAGGCCCTCCGAATAGTAGCTTTCTCGTTGGCTACCCAGGTATTTCAGCGACTTTGGTAGGTTCAGCTTGCGTGAATCCGCTGCCTCCCGATGCTGACATGTCCATTTCAGCCGCGCATCGAAGGCAAAGTCGAGATCCGTCCGGGTCAAGGCTTCTCCATGCCCGTCCCCGTGTCCCTCGTGCGAATATGTTTACAGCGCCGTGAATCCATACATCCTGACGCCGATAGCATCACCAAGCGCCACTTGGGCACGCCCCGCCGAGAGACCACCGATGTGGTGGGCAAGGAATTGCTCCTCTTCCGCTGCGCATCCGGAAAAGAGGCAGAAAAGGTCATCGCCATGGACCTGCCGTTTGTCCTCTTTATCCCCTTTGGGCGCGGTGGGGAGGAAACGAATCGACGAATCCCTCCAGCTTCCCTGCAACTACCCAGCCGAACCGCCGAGACCTTCTACGAACTCGTCGTGACCGTCCAACAAGGCCACAGCAATCAGTACAAATACAGCTTCCCCATGCCTCTACAACGCTACGATACCCTCTCTACCTTTGGCATGTACAATAAACCCGAATCTAAACTCGTTACTGCCGACAATATCGTCCATCTTGGCATCAATCTTCCTCGCTGGAGCTACGGCCCGAGCGATCCCATCACCGTCTATATCAAACTATCACCCAACGCCGATTGGATGTCGAAAGCGAAACGAGTAACCATTGATAAAATTTCCCTTGTCATTGAGGAGGAAATCACCTACAACCCCGAAGGCGACGAGCCGACGAAAAAGGTCAACAAAATCTCGAAACAAGTTCAGGTCGTCAAGACAAAAATGCCAGAAGCCGGATTCGCTACTAACGTCGGCCTCTGCTTTCCTTCGAAAGACCTACGAGACCCCGACGGCATTATCAAACGAGGGAAGCCTCAGTTTCCTCTATACGAAGTCGCGTCCTTCACAACTACCTCTACTCTCTACAAGATTGAGTTCTACCTCAACATCAAGGTACGTCCCGCTCGGTCCGTCGCCCATCTTTCGCTAACTTTCCCAGGTGCAACTCAGCGGCGCAAAAGATGTCAGCCTTCGGCAACCAATTGTCATTTGCCCACTCGACCAACAAGGCTGCAAGGAGGAAATGGACGCGATCGAGCAATCAGCAAAGGACGCTTCACACGTCGACGCCAACAACCCCATGCTACCGGCACGCACTGTTATTCTCGCTAACGAACGGGATTCATTACGCGCCCTAGGTCTTTGCATGGTGGGCGGTCAGAAGAAGCCATTCATCGAATGAACGAGACGACGACACTCAGATGTTACGAGAACAGCTTCCGCGACATGCCCTCCGATGATGGACGACGCCACTAGGATGTACGATAATACACCACGCGCGCCACTTCGGAAGAGAGCTTCCCATACCAAGACTGTTCGAACAGTCACTATACGGGGGATGGATGAGGCCAGCGCAACGACGGATCTGGAAGGTGTTGTTTTTTTCGCCCGCTGGAAGATACCTAAACACGGGGCGTTGGGATGAATTTCGGGGGTTTCCATGGCGAAGGCGGGACGGGATCCAATGATACACGGGCATGAATTCATGGCGTTCCGGGAGGCCACGGCACAGGCAGTGGGCAAGTGCCAGGGGGAACAACAAACAAACGGGTTGGAAAACGCCTCTTGGGCAGTGTCCGGCATGTGTGAAATGAGAGCATATTCAACGAATCGAGGGCAGCGGATGACAGAACGACGAAGATGAGTTACGAAGCCTTGAGCCATGTATACAACAAACAAACTAGGTCTGTAGGATTAGAGAAATCATAATTCTACCGACGGATAACTCAGGCGGTAGTCCGAATAGAGGGTGTGAAGACAATTGCACTTCGGTCCTGCACCATGAATAGCAAGACCAAGACTATAGTGCTCGCTGACACTAATAACCAGAGATATTCAAGTCACTTCACATGAAGAAATCTCGGCCGTGGGTTGGTCTTCGCGGAAGTTCTTTAGTGGCTCCGGATCTGGTGCAAGCATGTGTACGGTCCAAGACAAATCAAGTCCTGACGTCGGTGGACGCATCAGGGTTGGATGTTGGTTGACGCCAACGTCGGTGGCTGGGACCGTCAACAGGAAAGGCCAACGTTGCTCTTGATCTGGTATCGGGTTGATCAGATGTAGGCAGACGCAGACGCGGATGCAGCGGGCATTTGCTCTTGAATATCTCTTAAGTGGTTTTAAACAGGAGGATACACAACCACGCACAAGTATTGAGGCCCCGCCTCCGTTCAACAGTTGACCATCCTGCTCCGTAAATCTAGCCATGTGAAAACGTAGCTCCGGCCTCTAAACAGAGACCTAAGCTAAACCTTAATCTTAGTCCTAATCCTCTCTTGGTCCCCATGACGTTCGATCGTTCGGTTGGTGGTGACGGTCAGTCTCGGTGGTCGGGAACGAAGAAAACATTCTGCCGCTTGCCGCAGGGTTTAAAACGTCGCAATGCGCACTGCCGTGATGAGCTCTTTGCTGAGGGACTTGACGCCCTCGAAGACATCCTGAATGTGTGCGACCAGTCAGATCCGAGCTTGTTGAGGCTTTTATCGTTGAGATAAAACGCGGATGGCCTTCCCGTCGCGGGCGAAGAGGACGAACTCTCCAGACCTTCCCAGCCCTATGCCAATCAATTCGCGCCAAGTTTTCATGGTTACTTATTCTCTTGTCCGTTTTGCCTTGTTTCAATCTATATCGGAAGTTATTTAGGAAGTCATCTTTCTATACTCGAAAATTACCAGATCTGTTTACGATGTATATTTTAATCGAACGGGTGCCATTCTCCAATCTTTGGTAGCAGAATCGGGGGGTTTCATCCCAATCACTTGAATATTGTCAGCGGAATCATTTTGGCAATAAGGTAGGCTTATGAGTCTAGATGCTCTCGGTCTTTGTTTGTTTTTATTATTTTCTAGGTACCAGTTAGCCAGTTAGTCACCCTATACACAATCTTCCACTACCAACCAACCTCTTTCTTCTCTTAAGGCAAGCGCGTTTATAGGACAACTCAACCCTGTGAACCTGGGAAATATTTTCAATACTTGCTATAAAAATACAAACCCCTGCATTTGAGGTATGGGACTGTTTTAAGTTTAGAACAAGCTGAGAGTCGTTACTATTGCTGGTAGATGAACTTCATTCGTAACAGTACTGATTTCCATAATCCTCCTTTTCAGGAGATCAAAAAATATACCAAGCGAGCAAAAAGAAAGGATTTTGCGGACGGCAGGGTTCGAACCTGCGCGGTTTCCCACTGCGGATCGTTTATGGTTCATTACGAACAAACCTAAACACAGCGCCTTAACCACTCGGCCACGTCCGCTTGACTTGATTGAGAATTGACGCTCCAATGCCGCACCAAAAGATCGATGCGTCACAAGTGGGGGAGGTGTAGCTATTGTAGTAGTGGGGCTTCACAAGGCTTCGCAGCCTCGCAACTTTTTTGTCTGGAACAACACTTCCTCAACACATTCCCAACCGGACCTCAAGAAAACGGCTATGACTTGTTAACCCTCCAACCAAACGAACCCCTTCCAGAAATCACATTTTTCTACCCGGACACGCCTGAATCATGGCATTCGACGACGACGAAAACCCCAACGCGGCGGGCCCCGCAATGAACAACACCACAGCGGCCATCGAAGATGCTGAGGACGATTCGGTCGATACTAAGCTATTCCTGTCCATGTTTGACAAACAAGGTGTGTCGGGCAAGGCGATTCGCAAAGGCGAGAAGGACTTTGAGTCACATGGAACCCGAGCGCAAGACAAACTGCTGGAAACAAGCCGTAACGTTTTGGACAATGTGCTGGGCTACACCAGAATACACAGAGAAGAGTCATGGGCTCGGGGATGGTGCTTTCCAGACCACTGGCAGGATACTGAACAGGCTGGAGACCAGGATGGCCTCTGGTTACGGGAAAGAGTTGTTGCGATGGAGCACGAGAAGGGAAACTGGCAAAAGGATATTGGACGCGCGGTGCCGGCCAAGATCGAACGATCTGGTGCTGGACGACTGTGGTTATTGCCCGAGGAGGCAATCTACTTGGTTGAGCGCGGGACGGTCGACCTGTGGTGGCCGAATTTACCACTCGAGGAGCTACTCCCTAAGGCAGACGCGACAGAGAAGGTCGAATTTGGGCCGGACGACTACGATGCAGGTCTACCACTGAGTCTCGAGGCAGCGTACTCGCTCTTCATCGGCGAGGATGGCGAGACGGGCAAGATTTCACTGCCCAAGTACCAAGTCTTCTCGCACCTGAAGCGAGCAGGCTTCAACGTTCTACGAGCACCTCTACACGCCGAATCAACGCCTTCGACACCTCCTTCCAAGACGCTGTGGGAGTGGCTGTTCTCTTTCGTCAGCTGGGACGCGCGGCCAAGGCAGAAGCAACCTTTCGGGCCCCTCGTGCAGCCTGGACTATATCGCGCCTATCGTCCCATCTACGAGCAGCTTGCGATCCTCCCCCGCCATAAACCGCTGCCTACGCCGGTTGAAGTACGCACTCCATATGACCCATGGAAGGTCTTCTTCTACGTGTGGAAAACTGGCGGCACCCCATTCTCAAAGAGAAACCCGCCACCACCAGACTTTCGCATCGCTGTTGTCGATGCTAATGAGTCATCCGTGCCTTCACTCGAACAGATTGAGGCGCTCCTCGAGTCGACGCCTTATGACCCTCCTAACCCCGCGTGGCAAGGCCCCGGGCGCATGTACCAGCGCCTCAAGCATGGACATCGAAACGTGCTCGTGGCAGTTGTGGACCACGGCCTGGTCAACTTTATGAGATTTGGCGAGGGCGCTTTTGGGGAAGAGAAGGTGTTTGAGCGGCTCGACAACAGAGGCGGCCAAAGGGGAGGCAAGAAGTTCGGTCGCGGAGGAGGTAGAGGACGCGGTAGGGGCCGTGGCCGGGGTGGACGAGGCAGAGGACGAGGCGGATAGTGTATCAAATAGAAAGGAAAACGGACATGACCAGACGACACGATTGACGAGCATCTACGGACAATGAGTTGTGCAGAATAAACCTTGAGACTACGTGTTTTGAGTCACAGAGTGGTGTAAGGAGTATGCGGTTGGCTGTTGATCCTTTTCAACTGTTACAACAGCCACAGCCAACAAACGGGAGGGCATCTTTTGTTTCGCATAATTCCACTCTCAAATTAGAAGCGGTTCCAATTTGTCACACAAGCGATGTTTGGAGCTTGCTTGATACCCAACAACGCAACATCTGACTTGACGACGCCTCCTTGTACTCCACCTGGGCACTCGGAAGGACTATGTCCACATGAGAGTTGTGTGCTAAATGATCAACATGTTTTAAGGTGCGAGACTGCATATTAAGGACGCACTTTTTTTCTTCCTTGTGTCCTTTCTGAATTGGGCTCACCTTTGATTGAAGTACCTGACGTAGATCCAAGACCTGCTCATGGGACGGGACACGCATGCATAGCCTACAGAGCAAGGATCGATCTCGACCAGCTGCAACAAAGTGCGACCGGGCAAATGTTTCACAAGTTTTCCTCGTCGCCAAAGGGGGCGAGGGCGAGGACTTGGGCGACACGTCGGTTTGCTGGAAAGGAAGGACAAGACATGTTGAAAACTCGACGCGTTCCAGGTGGTGCGAGTCTGAACTTGTTGATGTTTGGGCGGTGACACGGCTGGCCTTCGCACACGGATAGACTTTTGCAAAAGACGGGACAATCTGCCAGAGGGCCGTTGGTAGCAGCAACTTACCTTACAGTATTTGTTGAGGGAATTTTAATTTCTCAACCCGCCGTGTCAGTCAGGTAGACAGGCGATGCAACAGGAACAGGAAGAGAAGGGGCCCAAAATGCAGCTTGACAAAAGGGATCAAGGCATTGCATTAGGGCTGGTTGTGTCTCAACTGAGACGGTCAAGGGGACGAATACGAATCGACGGCTCGGCGAGAGGTGGCTGGGCGCTGCTCGCTGCTGGCTGGGCCAAGTGTTCAGCTGTTGCTTTCAACCTTATCACCCGGCGTAGCTGAAGTGGTTGTTACCGTTTTGGAACTTGCAGGGGGTGAGCTTGGGGGAGAGAGTGGGCATGGGTGTTCGAGTTGAGGCCGGGCATTGGACGAAGGTACATACAGTAGTAGCCTATGCGATCTCTGGACATGGCTGAGACACAAGAACAAGCCACTGGCGAGGAAGCCAACCCAACAGAGAAGAGCAAGAGGAGAGAGGAGAAGGGAGGAGAAGGGAAGAAGGAAAGACGGTGAAGGGCTGGTTGGATGGATGTTGGCAACTCCTTGTACTAGATGCATATGTCGTCGGTAAGATGGTAAGGTAGGGAGAGGACGAGAAACCTGAACCGGAACTATTTGCTCTTCTTCCCAAGAGACAATGGGCCGATACGAGACGTCGAGACCCGCCGAGCCCGCGACATTTTTTTGTTGGGCGAAACTGACATCTGATGCTGTGTGAACAAATGAAGCCGGGTGAATTCAGCTTCGGTGTAGAGTCACAGCACCATCCATGATATGGCATTGCTGTTTAGGCTCATGTCCTTCTTTTTTAGGCCCCCAATCGAACAAAGGGCTTTTGTTATGACTTATGGCTGGCTGACTTGCTGCAAGATTTTGTGGAGAGAGAGACGGAGAGACGAGATGCGATGACACACAGTGTGATGATTAATGATGCAGAAGACTCCTTTTTGTCCTGTCTTCCAATATTAACGCTCGGCGGTCTGACAGGATTGCACTGTGCGTATCCGTAAGCACTTGCATCAGGCTGTCCTGCTTCCGAGTCTGAATGGATGAATGCGGGAAGTGCTATTGTTCCCCCCATGTTGATGTTGGACAGCGCATAAGAATTAAAGGACATAGCCATGGGTCCTTGTCATCAGTCATTTTCAAGCAATTCATCGCCCTCTATCGTTTGCCGGTACTGAGTATGCCATATTCCGAGGCCCTCTCTGCACCCAGCGACGGATAACGGCCTCGGTAGTTCGTGACTCGAATCCGCCCGAGGCGCGTGCATCCATCCATACCCATCCAATACCAGGGTGGCTCGAGTTGTCTTAATAAACGTGTCAAGTCATTGGCATAATACAGCTGGTTTCAAGGATAGCCCTCCATCGCGACGACCTAAGATAGATGTTGGGGCTTTTTTTTTATGTTAACCGCGCGCAGCGTCTTGCGATTCTCCAAGCTGAAGAAGAGTAGAAAGGATAGAGTGAAACAGACGGGCCGAAACTACGGTTAATGAGTGTACGAAGTAGGAAGGAATGAAGTTTTCCATGACAATTTTTTTCATGTTTTTTTTTCCCGCGTCGATGAGAGATGGGAAAGATAGGGGCGTGCTAGACGAAATGTCAGGGCGTGGGCTTATCAGCCGGATGATTTGCAAGTGTTGCGAGATTGCCATGACATCGGCCGCGCCTCTTTTCTGGGGCGTCCCGAATGATGGTTGATGATTGGCGTCACGAAGCATGGCCATGTCATCATCATGTATCAATCAGCACATGCGCGGACTATGCTGCCTCTGATTCCTCATTCCTCAAGGGTTGCTGCTAGTTTCTCGGTCGCACAAGCACGGTCGGGAGGGGATCCGTGACCTTGTGGTTGTTGTTGTTGTTGCGCCGAGGTTGCTGTGAAGGATATTGATGATAGTTGCTGCGAGGAGGGAGGTTCTTATGGGGGGGCACAACCCCCGAAGGACCGTCTTATGGACAGCAACGTAAGTCGTGTCATCATTCTCGCTCTTCCGTACTCCGCCAGCTTGGCGCAGATGCACCTATGGGATCTCGTTAACTAAGGGGGGGGCGGTTAAGCCACTTCAGTTCGGCCAGTGCCTAATAGTTTAGGTGGCTGAAAGAGTATTGGCCTTGAAGCTGCGAGGTTCAGCTGTGCAAGGAAACGGCGGTGGGAGAGTTGCTGGGAGGGACCCTAGAGGAGGAACAACTAATGATACGGAGTCGTTTTCGGCCTGAGTTGTCTCTTTCGAGTTGGTCAAGGAGAGAGGAGAGGAAGGTTAAGTTAGTTATTTGTCGTTTAGAGTTGAGTCGACCCATGGCGTGTGGTCGGCGACACCTTATCTCAAGCAACCACGACAGGGGACGGCTGATGGAGGCGAATTAGGGACTCGCCGGGCGCGTCTCAATTTATGAGCGGTTGATATCAACTGATTGATGGCTACGAACACCTGGAGTTGAGCAGAACTAGACAGAAAGAAAACGAGTTAAGTCAACCAAGGTGCGTGAATATCATCATCGTGAATGGAACCTCAAGGTATTGTCGCCCGAAAGGTATGACATTGTAGTGTGTGCGCTTGTGAGTGGTGGGCGTACCTGCTTAATTAATG